TTAAACCTTGAAAGGGGTACTTCATTTCACTTCCCAGGGAAAAGGGAAAAGAAAGTGCTCGACTCAGTTTGATAAAATTTGAAAGGGAGGAAGCCTGAGCCCCTAGACTAGTGGCTTTTCTAGAAGGCCTCACCCTTCTAGTTAGCGAACAGAATCTACCACCAGTAGCATTTCTTCTGGGATTTTGTCTATGAAGACTAGTGAGAGGGAAGTTGAGGCACGAGGCAGACCTGGGTTTGCCTCTGGGCTACGCCTGTGCTGGTGGGGCGACCCTCGACCCCCCAAGCCCCTGTGTTCTTTGTGCTGCATGGGAGGAGTGAGGAGGGAAATAACATTCTGGATCCCAGCCACCACAACTCCGTTCCTGGGGAGACATATTCTGATGATGAATCACCAAGGACCCCTCAAGGAGGAGAGTTTTCCTGGAGCACTGAAAACCCAGGATTCTACGCAGCGCACCCCAGAAACCCCAAGCCTGTGCCAAAGGTGGGTGCAAGTGGGAAGTAGAAGTGAGGGGATGGAACGAGTACCTCTGGAAGCCTTCCCGGCTGAGATAGCAGAGGAGGCCAGGTCTCACAAGAAGAATGATGGCTCGCCAGCCAAGAGAAAAGAGGAGGGGCATTCCAGGCAGGAGGAACAGCATATGTGAAGGCACAGAGTCAGAATGGGCCTGGCACTTTCAAAACCAGAGGAATGAAATGTCACCTGTGCCGTGTTTCTCAAAGTGCTGTCCTAGGACACGAAAGTGCACATGGCAGGCAGGAGCTGAGACGAAAGAGAGGAGACAGAACCGGGTCACAAAGAACCTTGAGTGCCACATCAAGGATCTAAACTTAGAGACCAACCAAAGCTAGCAATGGAAAACGGATCAGACCTCCCCCGCACAGAGCCCAGCACGGCAGGTTTAAAACCCATCAGAGAGTGCAGTGAGTGCACTTATCACGCTGGGCCAGGGCTGCTCTTGAGAGCTAATTGGCCAGCATGGCCTCACAGAGGCACGCAATGAGCAGACTCTGAGCTGGCCCCTGCTCTTTGTTATGGCTGCATCTACTAGGTGATAACGCAGGTAAAGGTCAGAAGCTTCCCCAGGGGGCAGCGGGGAGTACTGCCACCCTGAGCCAATTCTCCAGAAGGTGCCTTTTGAAAGGCTATTAAGACAAAGATGAGAAGAGGAAACAGTGGGACATGTGCAGCTGTGACATCGGTGGTTAGCCTACGGGATGGGGGGAGGAAGTAGCTGAAGCCTTTTAATGAATTTCAGGTGATTTTCACACAGAATGAGAGGTGAACAGTCAATTATCTAATCTTCACGGACAGTTGGATAAGATCTATTGTATATTTTGTTGTTTTTCAACTTTTTGTGTGTGAAAACGTTCACCATAAAATGCTGGGGAAAATAGGCCCATTTTCACATATCCATTCAGATACTAACCAGACCCATTGGATCCCAAGGGGAGTACCCGTATATTTCCAAGGTGGGGAAACCACACACACACACACACACACACACACACACACACTCACACTCCAGGTACCCTGTACTTCTCCTGTTATATAGACAACAGAAAATGTTGGCTGGCTGTATGGATGGATGGCTGGCTAGATGGATGGATGGGTGGGGGGGTGGGGGGGTGGATGGATGATGGATGGATGGATGGATGGATGGATGGATGGATGGATGGGTGGGTGGCTGGATGGATGGATGGATGGGTGGGTGGATGGATGGATAGGTGGATAAATGGGTGGATGGATGGATGGATGGTTGGGTGGGTAGCTGGATGGATGGATGGATGGATGGATGGATGGGTGGCTGGATGGCTGGATGGCTGGCTGGATGGATGGATGCGTGGGTGGATGGGTGGATGGGTGGATGGGGGGTGGAGAGAGGTAGGCAAGATCCAGGCCCTGTTGGGAGGGCAAACACGGAGCCATATTAACACTGCAAGGCATCAGGTGCCAAAGTATAACTCGGTGCAAAGTACAGGGGAGAATGCTTCTGCCTCCAGGCATTCAGGAAGGCTCCAGGGAGATGGAGGTGTTTGAGCAGGGCCCTGAAAGGAGAGTAGTCGAAGTGAACAGAGGGAAGAGCAGGGCTGCAGGCTGAGGGAGACAGCAAAGGCAAAGAGTGAGAGGGTGTGATACGTCTGGGGGAAAAGCTGGGTTACCTGAATGGTGAGGTTAGAGGACAAGTACAGAGTGTTTGGTGAGATCCAGCTGGGAGGATGGGTTGAAGTCTGATCCGAGCACAGGCATTAAGGATGGCTGAGGGAGTGTGAGCTGAGTGTGAGCCCAGACTCTCTGACCACTTATTCGGCCTGTGACATCACTGGGCCTCTCTGAGCCTTACTCTTCCAGCCACTAGAGAGAGCAGTGATTTCCCTCACTCGTGGGTTATTGTGAGGATGAGATGATGTTTCATTTAATATGCTATCTCAGCATGCCCAGGGTGATCCTACAGTATGGATGCACCATGATCTCTCAAGCCATCCCCTGCTGCTGGACACCGGTGGATTCCTGCTTTTTGCTGCTTGCAAACCTGCTGTCACAGACGTCCTTCATACATTTAGCCCGACAGAGGCTGTATTGCCACAGAGTAGGTTCTCAAAAGAGGGAGTGAGGCCTAAGTGACTGAGAGGGGTGTCCTTATACAATAAAGGAATTAGGGAAACTGAGCTGCTTGGTAATGTGGAGAGCGCGTGTGCCTGTGTGTACACAGAGAAGCACAGGGAAAGCAGGGAAAGCCCCCATCACACCAAACTGTCAGCAGCAGTCACCTTCCAGGCAGGAGGGCCTGGACATGTGACCACACAGTCAGCCTCTTCTGTATCCCTCAGGATACTGGGTTTACTGTAATAAGCTTGTCATTGCTTTGGAAATTTGAAAGGAAAGTTCGAGAAAGTGTTTTTATGTTGTCTGGGATGATGAAAACAGTGACAGTGATCTTGTGGTGCTGTGGCCTCTGGGGCAGTCACTCTACCCACAGGCTACAGGGTGGATGAAGCTCCATTCGAAAGCTCCTGCCTTCACGGAAGGTCACCAGAAACTCTGGGACCTGGGCTGTAAAAGAGAAACACGACAGAAGTGATTCTTCTTTGAAACTCCATGAAAAAAGGGACCACCGCTGCTCTGTTCATCATTGTGCCCCCAGCACCTAGAACAGCGTTGGCCACGTTGTAAGGTCTGAAAGAAATACTGGCCGAAAAGAACAGAGGGATGGAAGAGAAGGAAAGAAGAAGGGAGGGGAGGATGAATTTCAAATTATATGAGAGGCTGCTTCGTTCAGATTTGAAAACCCCAAACATTAACTAAAACATTGGTCCAGGGCCAAAATACCTACACCGGGCTGTTAAGAAACTCAGAAAAAAAAAAAAAAAATTGTTATCAGAAATAGGGAGTCTCAAAAAAGATAGCCTTGCTGCTATCTCCTCCACAGTTAATTAAATGTACCAGTGAGAACCATGCTGCTTGTGTTATTTATGTAATGAAAAGATCTTCTAAAAATAATACCCAGAGGCCCGGCTCGCAAAGCCCGGCGGCTGAACCAGCTGGAGCGGCAGAAGGTGACCAGGCGCCGTGATCCCTGCACCAACACAGTGGTTACGATTAAATGATGCTTCTCATATTCAGGTTGCAAAACCGCTCCAGGCCAAAGCCTAGGAGAGGCTTAATTCATGTCACGTGGCGATTAGCTTGCTTCTGAGAGGGATTCCACAGTCATCCTGATTTCTACAGGCTCTCAGATCCCAGTAGATTGCCTGCTAGCTGCTCTCTGGAAAACCAGGATCGGCTGGCGTGAAAGGGAATCGGCAGGGCCTTCGCTTGTCTTTCATCGATTGGAATCACAGAATATCACCAGTAGGAGGGGATCTCTGGGGTTTAACCAAGACATACTGTGTGTGCAGCCTTTCTGTTGAAGTGAGGTTTGCATTGGGACAGGTGGAAGGAAGGTAGGAAGATGGGAGGGAGGAAGGAGCTGGAAGCCACCAAAATACTCGTGATGAAGGCATAATAGGATCAACCGTGGCCAGCCACCCCGTGGGCTGCTAGGCAGCCGTCGGAGAGACTGAGTCAGTTCTGCGCCGGCTGACCGACCACATGTGCCGCCAAATAAGAAAAGAAGGATTGAGAGCGATGTTTGGAGCAGGTGCGGGCAGGGCGAGCCACTGGCGGACTATGACAGCAGACTCAATCTGGCCCTCTGCCTGGTTTTGCGCAGCCCATGAGCTAAGAATAGCTTTTACATTTTTAAAGCGTTTGGAAATAGTTTTAAAGAGTTGGAAAAAACCAAAAAAGAATCCTATTTTGTGACACGTGAAAGCTATGTGAAATTCAAATTCCAGTACCCATAGTAAAGTCTCATGAGAGCCCAGACACACTCATTCATTTGCACGTCGTCCGTGTAGGTGCTTTCGGGCCACAGGGACAGAGTTGAGTCATTCCAGCAGAGACCTTGGGGGATGCAAAGCAGAAAGCACTTACTACCTGGCTCTCTGCTGAGAAAGTTGGTCAGCTCCTGCTTTATGGTACGATGACATTTTGTGAAACCAACAGTGTCAGACACTGTTCTCAGTGCCTTATCAGAGCAAAGCCATTACATTTGCTCATTTATTCACTCATTTGATCACTTATCCATCAGATGCTTAATGCCTACCTGTGGGGTCAGGCACCAGGAACCGGCAGTGAACAAGCAGACACAGCCCCTATTCTTGTGGTGTTTAGAGTCTGTGTCTAGTTCTTTCTTTCTCCTGTATAAATAGTCCTACCCTTCCAACGGTATCTCACAGGATGACACAGTGGTCCAGCCCCTTGCATCCTGCCTCCATTCCTCCTCCCGCTGTGCATCCTGGTTGCCTCAGTCCCTCCTAAAGAGAGGCATCCAGATTGACCCTGTGCCTCCTGGTGTCTTCCAGGAAGGTCAAGGTCTAGAAGGATTCATCTCACATCGGTCATGCTCTTGGTCTGATTTCAAAGTGTTCAACACTGGATGCTTGCATTTTCAGCTCCTGTTCGCCAGTGGTCCTAAGAGGCAGATGCAGCAGTCCCTGACCCCCATCACATGGGTGGGAGCCTCCACCAGCTATGGAGAAGGATGTGGCCACAACTCCACATGATCACTCCCGAATAAAACCAAAGCCACCTCCAGACACATGCTCCAGTGCCTCAGTCTCTATGCAAAACCTGGAGAGTAGAGACCTGCTCCAGTCGCTGGAGGAAGCTGGCTCAGCAGGGGGTGATTTGAGGACTGGAATCTGAACGAGGAGCTTTCTCCTTTTGCTCTTCTTCATTCATACTCATGCCCGATATCTCCCAGAAGACTGCTTTATTTATTTCTAGGAAAACGGTACTGGGCAGTCATTGTCACCTCCCCATGTTTGGACATTTTCTTTTGGCTCCATTGGGAGCCTAGAGCCCAGTGGTTGACATAATTGACACACTGGGAAGCTGGGCAAGAAGTGGCCAGGGCCCGCCGGCAGAGGACAGACCTATAGGGTCCCAGGATGGGACCTAACGGCACAGCCTCTTCCTTTTGTCTGGACTCTCCCCCATGCAAGATCACTGTCAGCGTGGTCCTCACCGTCCTCATCCTCATCACCATTGCTGGCAACGTGGTGGTCTGCCTGGCTGTGGGCCTGACCCGCCGGCTCCGCAGTCTGACCAACTGCTTCATTGTGTCTTTGGCTATCACCGATCTGCTCCTCGGCCTCCTGGTGCTGCCCTTCTCGGCCTTCTACCAGCTATCCTGCAAGTGGAGCTTCGGCAAGGTCTTCTGCAACATCTATACCAGCTTGGATGTGATGCTCTGCACGGCCTCCATCCTCAACCTCTTCATGATCAGCCTCGACCGGTACTGCGCTGTCACGGACCCCCTGCGCTACCCCGTGCTGGTCACCCCAGTCCGGGTGGCTGTCTCCCTTGTCTTAATTTGGGTCATCTCCATCACCCTGTCCTTCCTGTCTATCCATCTGGGGTGGAACAGTGGGAGTAAGAACAGCAGTTTCAATCACACCATCCCCAAGTGCAAAGTGCAGGTCAACTTGGTGTACGGCTTGGTGGATGGGCTGGTCACCTTCTACCTACCGCTGCTGGTCATGTGCATCACCTACTACCGCATCTTTAAGATTGCCCGGGATCAGGCCAAGAGGATCCATCACATGGGCTCCTGGAAGGCGGCTACCATTGGGGAGCACAAAGCCACAGTGACACTGGCTGCCGTGATGGGAGCCTTCATCATCTGCTGGTTCCCCTACTTTACCGTGTTTGTTTACCGGGGGCTGGTAGGGGATGATGACATCAATGAGGCCATTGAAGCCGTTGTTCTGTGGCTGGGCTATGCCAACTCGGCCCTGAACCCTATCCTGTACGCCACGCTGAACAGAGACTTCCGCACGGCATACCAGCAGCTCTTCCGCTGTGGGCCTGCCAGCCACAGTGCCCAGGAGACTCCTCGGAGGGCTGGCAGCTCTCAGCTGGCCAGGAACCAAAGCCGAGAACCCATGCGTCAGGAAGAGAAGCCCCTGAAGCTGCAGGTGTGGAGTGGGACCGAGGTCACAGCCCCGAGGGGAGCCTCAGACAGGTAACTGCCCTGAATGTGTGTGTGTGTGTGTGTGTGCGCGCGAGAAAAACGCCCCAGGGAGGGGGTCCCAGTAATGGCGACCGTGAAGGTAGCGGCCGTTCCCCAGGTGCTGGTCGAACATTCTGTGCTGGGAAGTCTTCATGAGCACTTTGCAACCTCATGTTGTTCCATCCTCCCAACGGCTTCCCGAGGTAGACGCTTTGACTTCCATTTTTAAAGGACCACATTAAATCTCAGAGCACGTGACCAGGGCCACACAGCTGGGACCTGGACAGAGATCTCTGACTCCAGAACTTGTGGGCCCTTTATTCTAGCTATGTTGTCCTTACAATCGGGAATCCCAAGTTCAAGGCCCAACTCTGTCATTTGGTTAGTCATGTGAGGTGTTCACCCAAGCTTTCCAGGACAGCCCTCAAATGGCCAGGCACTGATGCCGCCACCCGGGGAGTAACCGCAAACCCAGCTTGGTCCACGTTCATTGAGCCCCTGTGATGCACCCGCTCTTATGCTAGGGGTGCTCGGGTCAGAGGAGAAAGAGGACTGGCCAAATTGAGAAGGCAGAGCCTTGCAGGTCAGGCTAGGGGCTTAGACCTTGTACCATTGGTCTCAGGGGAAGATGGAAGGATTAGAAGCAAGGATAGAGGGAAGCCAGGCAGCTCTGTGCTTTGGAAAGAGAGCTTTGGTTCCCGGAAAGACGTGGACCAGCAGAATGAGATGGGGCCATTGGTGAAGGGGCATGTGCACTGGCCCATGAGAGAGGAGAAAGGAATAGAGCAAAATCTAAGAGGCTATTAAAAAAAAGATAGGCTTGGAGAGCATTGGATGTTTGGGGTACAGGAGATGCGAGAGAGAAGATGCCCCAGGATTCTACCCCCAAGAGGTATCCAGGCTGAAAAAATAAACAGGATTGGAATGAGATGTAGATACATGCACTGATGGCAAAGGCAATGCCGGGTACTGAGGGAAACCCCACTAGAAACCTGAGTGGCGCTGAGGAAGCTCACCCACAGCATGGAGAATACATTGACCGGTTTACGGGCACTCTAGCTGAGGAGAGGGCTGAGTGAAAGGGCGCTGGTAGAACGCCTGGCACGTGAAAGTGCTCAACAAATGTTGCTTTCCTTACTCTTCCCACAGACCATGCCTTTGCCTCCCAGAGTGCAGGTCTGTGTGACCGACGCACCCACCTACCCACCCACCCATCCATCCATCTGTTCATCCGTCCGTCTGTCCATTCATTTGCAAACCTTTATCAACTTCCCACCACATGCTGGGAACTGTGCTGAGTCCCCAGGATGCAGAAATGACATTTTGGGCATTTGTTCTGATGCACAGGCATGGAAAGTCAACTGCATAGTCCCGCTCTCAGCTCTGTTCTCCCTCCCTCCTTGGGTGAGCAAGTCCCTGCCCCTCTTGGGCTTCTGTTTCCTCATCTCATAGCGGGTGGGGTCTGTCCTCATGCAGCCTGCCCTGCTCACCTCCCAGGGTTGCCTGATGCCCATGTGAGTCAAGAGATGTGAACAGGCTGGGACACTTGTCTCCTCTCAATAATTGAGCATCAGACTCAAGAAAAGCTTGGGCGAATGCCGCAGCCCCACACCTTCTCGGTTCTGGTCCCTGTGGAGCGTTGTGGGAGCAAAATTGCCCAGCCAGACCCCTGGGCCTCATGTCCCCTCTGGTCCTTGCAGCAGCCAGGTGTGGAGTGTCCTGCCATAGACTTGGGTCCCGGGCCCTCCACCCCTCCACTGCCAGCCTTCTGGAACAAGCCTCATTGCTCCTGCCTCCAGCTCCTAACCTTGAGACTCTCCCTCTCAAATCCATCCTCCAAACCACCGAGCAATGTCTCTCCAAAATGGAGATCTGGAGCCTTCCACATCCGGCCCTGATGGGTAAGGCCCCCTCTGACCATGTCCTTCCCCATTCCCTCCCCCATTCAGGAAGCAGCCTCGAGCACAAAGCTAAGTTAGATCACGAAGCAAACAAAGAACAAAGCACAGAGAGTAGACCCGGTAGAAGGCTGTTGACACCATTCAGTCTAGTCATGCATGCCACTTTCCGCTGCTCTTACCAGTGAGACCCCCTGGTGAAGAGGCTGCTTTCACCCCTAATCCGTAGAGAAGTGTATTCAATAAGCACTTAGCAACAACAGCTGATGCTCCTTGGGCACCCACTGGGTGCCCGCTGTACACGTTGGCCATTGTTTCCATGTATAATCATTCTGTGGGCATCCTATCCCCACCCTTGGGCTGGGTGCTAAGGGTGCGAAGGGAAATAAAGCAAGCCCCCCACCCCAGGTCTCGCCACCTGTCATTGCTCATGGTCTAGTTGACGAGTAGATGGCCAGCAGCTCAGTGCAGCACATGCCAATGACTGAAACCCAGTGTGCTGGGCACCCAGAGGAGGCGGTGCATGGCCCAGGGAGCCCATCCCAGGGAGCAGACCTCCAAGCTGAGCCTTAAATGCAGACAGGAAAAGACCTTATTCATCCAGGGTGGTACTGGACCCTTTGGACTTATGGCCTCATTTCACTTTCCCCACGACCCTATGCTTGTTTAAGCTCCACTTCACAGATGGGAAAACTGAGGCTCAGAAAAGATAAATAAATTACCCAAGGGACATAAGCTAGTGAGTCAGCCAAAGCCACGTTCCAAGCAACAACAGAAATAGCAGCCCCCCTGATTGGCTGTCCTCTGGGTGCAGGGGCACACTGTGGACCATGAACGCCCACCTTTTCTTCCGATCTTCACGGCCACCATGTGGCGGGGGGCGGGAGGGCGGCTATGAGGCTGAGGCCAGCTGAGAGGTGGGGCCTGCCTGGGTCACACACAGCAGCCACGAAGCCAGGGCCTTCAGAGCACATGTCCTGTGCGGCCGTGGCCATGCTCTGTCCTCCAAGACCCAGAAACAGTGAGCAGAGGGGTTGGGCAGAGGAGGATGGTGAACCAGCTGGACTGGTGGGGGCCTGGGTCGGGGGTGAAGGAGGCCACGAACAGCCAGAGGTTGATTTTCCCACTGAGACTGCCAGGGCATCAGGGCCTCATGTGGCCCTCCATGAGGTTGGCTCCCGGCTTCCCTGATGACTGATAACATGTCCTTTCTGCTTTCCGTCTGGGGACAAAAATCAGCCTTGACCTGACCGAAGGCCCTTATCCCTGCTGGGGCGGGGGGCGGGAGGGTGCGGCGTGGAGGTGTCGCTCTTAGTGGAGAATTCTGAAGGGCCTAACTGGGCCTGCCCTTGGGGTAGGGTGGAGCTGGGTCAGGGGCATGGTGGCGCCAGCCAAGGGGAGACTCCTGGAGAGAGTGGCCCTTGTCTCCTCTCTGGCCATGTGCCCTCCCCAGTGACCTCCACCGCTCCTGCTGGATATCGGCCTGCATTCATTTCCTAGGGCTGCTGTAATATTCGGTGGCCAAAAACAAGGCAGATGGATTCCCTTACAGTTTGGGAGGTCAGGAGTCTGAGACCAAGGTGCTGGCAGGGCTGGTTGCTCCTGGAGGTTTCAGAGGAGACTCTCTTTCCGTGCGTTCTCTTTGCCTTTTCCGGGGGCCACCTGCTCCCCTTGGCTCATGAGCCCTTTCTCATGTCTTTCCCCTCTTGCTTTCTTTGTCACAACTCCTTCCCCCATCTGTAGCCAAATCTCCTGCCACTCTCTTAGAAGGGCTCTTGTGACTATATTTAGGGACCACCAGGATAATCCAGGATCATCGCCCCATCCCACATTCCTTAACTTAATTATAGATATGATTAAGTCCTTTTTTTTGCCACAGAAGGTAACGTGCTCAGATTCCAGCAGTGAGGATGTGGACATCTCTGGGGACTGTGTTCAGCGACCCCAAGTCCCAACGCCTTGCCTGGCATTAGAAGCCCTACCCTCCTTCTGATCTGTTTCTTGCCAACATCCCCTGACCCACACCTGCCCTCCACCCACTTCAGTCACAGCCAAAACAGACCACTCCGAGCCCAGGATCCCCAGGCCCCCAGCAAGGATTTGCTATAAGCCCAGCCCTGCTTGGGGCATAGAAGTGAGCAGATCAGAGGCTGTCCTCCCTGAGGGATGTTATTCTAGGGCAGTGCTTCTCAAAGTGTGGGCCCCCAGCCAGCTGCAGGCTTCCAGAAGCAAAGTGGTCAGCGTCAGACCACGTAGCCTCAAATCCAAGTAAGGATTCCAGTCTGAGCCTGTCTGACCCTAAAGTTTGGGGTCTTTCTACAGTAAAACACTGTCTGGACTTGAATTTAGTCCAGACTCAGTGCTAGTCCCATTGATACCAGATGAGGGAACTAAGATCACTGGGAAGCAAGTGACTTATCTGAGGCGCAACGCAAGCTCAGGAGGGGCTGGTGACAGACCCAGTACTTTGGACCCCTGCCCAGGGCTCTTGGGTCCCTTTTCCACACACTGGCTTGCTCTGGGTAATCTCCCAGAGCGGGGAGATAATATTCATAAGCACCTGGAGTATCAGCAGTCACTCGTGGGCATGGCATTTCCGCATTCCTGCAGAGCGCCTGGAGGCTGGAGCCAGAGATCAGGAAAGACCCTGGGAGAAGAGGTGCAAAGGGAGCCAAGGGGCCCCCACCCCTCCAGCCAGCTTTCTCCTCCGAGGTCCCGTGGCAGCTGTCCACCCGACCCCTCCTATCTGCTCTCCTTCTGCAGCCAGAGAGCAGGTTTCCACGTGGAAGTGGGACTATGCGCCGTCCCTCCTGATGCTCCCAAGTTCTTATCCTGACCTCCCAGACCTTGTCCTCCACGCCCCCTGGCCTCAGCCCAAACTGTCTTATTCCTCTTGAGGCATTCTCTGTGTTTCAGGTCTGCACCCCCAAGGGTACGCTCCCCAAGGGCAGGTCCATGCCTGTGTTGTTCACTGCTGTATCCCTACTAGGATAGGCACAGTAATATTGTTGGATGGGGCTGGGTCAGGGGCATGGTGGCACGCATGAGTGAATATCTAGTTTTAGTTCCCCAAGAGCCCTAAGAGGTAAATAATACTGCCTCCACTTCAGAGAT